CTCCTTTTTAACAAGCATTTTTAGTTTCTTAGTATCGATTTTAATTATGGTACATGTAGGTTATATTTATTTATCTATATTTTGACGTACAGTGCCTGGGAGCAGCCTGATCATGCTGATGGATTGGGCGCTTTATAAATGTCAATTATTATTATTATTATTCAATTGGAGCTTTCAAGAAAATACATTATCTTATCTTTTGAGCAAGAAACATCCAATATTAAAAAATAACCTGTGAAATCATTCATCAATAAATATTTAACAGAAAGTGTCAAAATACCTAACCCAGTCAGTTGTTCATATAAATAACTCTGATACTGCCGTCCCTCAGATGATTGATAAGCATTTTAATGATTGTTTTAAAACGTTGGACAACAGTTGGCTTCCAAGATACACTGGTGACCCTGTGAAATATCTCAACTTTCCTGATTCCGTACTTTAAAGCCTAATAACACAGGAAGAAGTTCATGACTGTATCAATCAACTTCAAAATGAGAAAAGTGTGAATCATGTGTAAAGAGGATGACACTATCCCATTCAGTGACACAGTTTGGTGACTTGTGAAGCTTACTGATTGAATAAAAATTAGTCTAGGCGAGTGGTCCGGTAAGGGGTTGAAATGGGTAGGCATAAGCAGAATATATAACCAAAAGCTAGTGATGTTTGTTGGATGTGATTGGGTGATGCGAGCAGAAGATTAGTTTTCAAATTCTTCTGTCAGCAAGAACAATATGCTTCTGTGCCTAGTAGCAATAACACTTAATCAGTTGCATACGGATGATTTGGAAGGAATTAATGCTAATTCACATAAATGTGATGCTTTTGATGGGTTGTTATACCAGTAAAGGAGATTTTATTTTACTGAGTGTTTTAAACAGTCCCAAATCCTCCAATTTCAATATGATTTTACGTACACTCTAGGGGGTTAGGGTTTTAAGTCCAGCCATTTGGCCTCAGTTAAGGCTGGCTCATACTTCAGGCAGAGGTGAAAGCGAAGCAAATCTAATGAAAGACTTCCAGCAAAATTTTGCTATTCAACTTGTGTGAATTCATGAAAGTACTTTCCTGAAAGTAAAGAATGGAGGTTTCCCAAATATTTCTGAGATAGGTAGATAGATGTCTCAGAGAGCTTCATTTGTGAATTTCAAAGTTGGTTGGATCTTGTTGATGTATGCGACAAAATTAGAAATTGGTCAAGAATTTGGTTATAGATGACCAGTATATTGTCTCTTTAGCACCACTGTGTGAGAATTTTTTCTGCTTTTTTTTTTAGTATTTTGTTTCAGAAGTCCGAGTCATGCAGGGTGATGTCACATATTTCAGGGCATGCTGTTGGGCATTTGAAGGAAATACTTTTTCTAAAATGGAAACAGTTGTGGTCGAGAATTGACTTCCAGGAAAACCTTTGATGTAGTAGTGAGTGGTTTTTTGATTGAGTTGTTTTAGTACAGTGTAATTGGTGTTGTTGTTTATCATATGGTTAACTACAATGTCCCTTTTTTGTGTTTTTTAATGGGGGGCTAGTTTTTGCCTGAACATGTTTTTAGTCAGTGTCTTAGCCCAATGTGGGTCAGTTGGTGAGTTCAAATTCGGTGGCTTCCCAATATTCTTCTCAATCTGGTGTCACAGATGAGGTTGACTTGGGATGCCAAGTGGGAGATTGTTTAAAAGGATGTTTTTTTGAGCATTGTTTAGGGAGTAAATATTAAACTAACGTTTAAGACCAGCCAAGCACATATCTATTCCCATTCATGAATACCTTTTTATTCAAAGAGTCAAAAGAAGTCAACATATGATGGATTTCCAACAATTCTTTCTAAAAACTTCACTTTTATTTTCCCAAAATCCCCCCTTTAAATTTTATACATGTAGTATATCCATTTTGAAAATTGTCCAATAGAATAGAAGTAAATAGACTTTGCGTGCGCCTGGCGCATTCTGCGTGTTGCGTCACACACAGACTCATGAATAATAAGGATGGAGTAAACTGTCTGATATCCAAGTTTTAGTGCGTGTTTTACACAGCAGGCATTTTCACGTCTCAGCAGGCATTATCAAATGTTAACACATGATCAAGTTGCACGTTTCTCTGCCAAATTTTGTTTTCAGTCTTTCGTTAACCCAATCTCTGGTCACTGCTAGATGCCGAAGTCTGGGAAGAGAGTGGCAGCAACCGTTTGGCCTTCTAAGGGGAGGAGACCGCACGGAAGGCCTTGCTCTGCTACCGGTAAGCCTACGCAAAGCCGGAGAGATGCTTCTGATGCAACCCCACGTTCGGTTGGGCTAGAGAAAAGTATACCGGCAGCAGCCACACCATCATCTGCAATCCCTACTGGTGCTGTAGATGGATCTCTCCCACCAGGAGGCCCACAAAGTGCTGCCGCTGCACCGCCTGTGACTTCGGGGCTTTGTGAGTCAGATGTTCACTGCAATCTTTTTTCCCTTACCTGTTGTGGACGACCAATCCATTCCTCATTAAATTTCAACTGGGGATCCTACCCGTGGTATTAGTTCATCTGCATTGCCTTTGACTTCCACCCCTATTTTGCTTCCGGCTGTGAGTGCCACTTCTTCAATGGCTAATGTACAAAACTTCACTGCACTAACAAGTGTTTGTGACGAGCTGGGACCGGGGGTACCTAAAAACATCCAAGAAAAAATTTGGAATGGGGAGTTTGTTGAATTTGGTTCTTTGCTACGGCCAACTCGCACTGGGTTTGGTAATACTCATTCTCACGACTGTGTCTTTATGATCGGTTTGCCTGAATCACCCACCTTGCAAATTCGCCCCCAGCTCAGCACGTTCGCATAATGTCCACTGAGCAGTGGACTTCTGCCATGTCTGCTTTCTTGGTTTTTGCATCCATTCACTTGATTCACCATCTGGACTGCACCCGACAATTACTGATATGTACCAATACTGTCCAATTTGCAATCTTCCATCACACCGGTTTTGGCTGGCGCGATTATGATATCCAATTCTGTCTTCGCCAAATGCGAATGCCTGCTCGTTCTTGGGCCATCATCGACGCTGAATTTGTGGCTAACACTAGTGGGTGGTTCCTCACAAAACTTTGTTCATACCTACCCCCGTAAGTCTCCCCAACAGTCGTAAAAATGTCGTAAATCCTTTCAGCAGGAACAGCAGGAAAAGCAAGGCACTGTTCGTGGAATCTGTTTCGACTTCAAACGCAGTCAATGTTTCCCACAATTTGCCCACAAGTGTTCCATGTGCATGTCCCCTAGCCACTCAGCCAATAATTGCTGCGATAGCTTCCTATACATGCACTGGCAGTGCTCAAGGGGCAGCCAGTGCATCAACTACCAACCCCTGTAAAAATATCTAGCATGCTCCCCTTTCTCAACACATACCCAGCAAGGCAATACACACAAATCCTGATCGATGGTATCACTTTTGTCTTTCATTTGGGCTATTCTGGTCTGAGAGTACACTCTTTGGCTGGCAATTTCAAGTCCATCCATGAACACAAGGCTTTATTACACAATAATATTATCAGGGAGATTCAGTTGGGCCACATTGCTGGTCCTTTTTCTAGCCCCCATTGCCTGATTTGCACTGTTCTCCAGTTGGTCTAGTCCCTAAGCAAACGTCGGGTGAATTTTGTTTGATACACAATCTTTCCTCCCCGTTGGGCAATTCCGTTAATGATTACATTGACCCGTCTCTTACTATTGTTAATTACTCAAGTTTTGATGACGCGATGGGGTTGGTCTTAAGTTTAGGCACCGGTGCCCTTATGGCTAAATCTGACATTAAGTCAGCTTTTCACTCGCTGCCTGTTCACCAAGATGATTTTAACCTTCTAGGCTTCTTCTTCAATGGGTCATACTATTGGTACTGCGACAAATGTACATGTATGCCCATGGGTTGTTCCATATCGTGTGTGACATACGAACATTTTAGCCCTTTAAGGAATGTAATGTACCCTCAAAGTGGCAATGACTGATGATATCATTCACTACCTCGACAATTTCCTTTTTTGTGGGAAGTGCCAATTCCAGTGACTGCGCTCATGCTCTCAGTTCTTTTATGGTCGTCTGTAGGAGTTTGGAGTTCCCTCAGCGTCAGACAGAACGGTTGGTGTGGCTACTAATGTCACTTTCCTACGGTTGGCAATCAACACTATTGCTCGCTCAATTTAAGTTCCACCAGTGAAAATCACGTCCATACTAGAGAAGTTGGATAATGCATTATCTAAACCAAAAATTATTCTCAGGGACCTGCAGTCTTTGTTAGGAAGTTTCAATTTCATCATCATAAAGCTGTTTGCCCAGGCCATGCATTTTTGCGTCGTTTTTTTGATTTGCATGTACATGTAACCTGCGGCGTTCCCAAGCCACATCATCGTATCCGCATTTCTTCTGGAACACGCACCAACCTGTTGGCATGGCAACAGTTCTTGGTCCATTTCAATGGCTCGGTCATGTTCCCTACCCAAGTCTGGCAGTTCAGTCACACCTTACGGTTGTACACCGATGCTTCAGCCGATACAGGTTTTGGTGCATGTTTTTGCCCCCATACTCATCCTGTTTATCAGCGTACATGTACTTGGCAGTTTTTCCCATGGTTCAGTTTGCGCCATGGCCTTAATTTTATTGATTCTCACCCTTCACTTCAACAGCTCGTACAGTTTGTTGCATTTTTGTCCATCAATAATTATTCTCTCCCCACCATAGCTTTGTGTGTATCTGGTATTTCTTCCACATTACGCCGGTATAATTTTCGGAGATAACCCAACACTTTGTTTTCAAACGCTTATTGGATGGCTGTCGGCGGCATAACAGCTATTGGGATGTGCACCATCCTATTACATTGGATATTCTCTGCCATATGAATATTCACAAAAAGTACAAATACAGAAATTACTTGACTGCTCGCTCAGTAAAAACCTAAAATACATGTATATTTGCAATAGTCACAAAAAGCACAATTACGGTCTATTTTTGATTAATTTAGGCTAAGATTTTTAAAAAAGGAAAAAAAAATATATGTATTTGAAATTTATTTAAAATTCCCATTCAGGAACCTGACTGCAGTGTTATAAAATGATCAC